TGGATCCGATCAAAGGTGTGTCTCCCCCAGGATCCTGTCTGCAGTAGTGGTCAATAGCGGAGTGAGTGTAAGCACGAAACAAGCCTGCAGTGCTATTTCCTCAGAGCACTCGCCCATACTCCAAAAATCTGCAGCAGCTTTAGGACTTCCTGAGGCAGAGTTGTTCCCTTTGTACTTCGTAGTCCTTAAGAGAGAGACGGTCTTTTTTTGAAGCTATGGACAATTTCAGTATGCCTAGATCAAGAATCCTTATGAAGGCATCATTCCACATTTTGTGACACCAGCAATTAAGAACAGACACCAGTCAAAAGAAGTTTCACATTGAAACTGGACTTCACTTTCCCACAGTAGACTAACTTGAAAACTTGCTCAGAAAATGAGCTTCCTCATAAATTACAAAAATAGAAGTGAAAAATATACTCACCAGCCACACCAACAAAGGCGACAAACAGTATGTATTTCATGATCTTGACACAGCCTCAAGCCCGGACTGGTGGACTGGAAGTGAGAGCTGCTAGAAATACGTTTTTTGAAATGGCCTTATCTCTAGTCCAAGGTTTTCTCCAGAGAAAAAGTACACAGTGGAAAATTTGAAGATCCATATGTGGGTATTAACAGGCACTGGTAGAAAGTACAAATAACATATCAGTTAATTGTAAACCTTTCCTAAGATAAAGAGCTATTTTAAATTATTCCAGAGGGCAGCCTTCAATTTAAAAACACATTTGGGCTTTGGAAGATGTGTAGTTGTTTGCCTGCCTCATTCTTCTATGCAGCACCTGTTGAGAGCAACCCTCAAACCCCTTTGAGATTCCTCTGCGCTGATGGAGTCATTCTTAGAAATGTGTATATTTATCAGAAGCTGAATATTGTAGGTAACGGACAGTAAGATGCTCTATATTTATTTGGAAAAAAAAAAAAAAACAAACCCAAAACCTCTCAGTGCTCTTAAGTTTATTTTGGCAAATTCCTTTTCTTGAGTAATGAGTGTGTGTGTGTGTGTTTATCACATAAGAGTGTTTTCCCAAACAAAATTATTCAGAAGTAATTTCAGTGAGTGCAAAAAAACTGTTCTGTACCCTCTCACCACCTCCCAAGCTAAATTGTTCGAAGGTGGGAATGCTCACCATATCTCTTGGAAAGCATTTCTCTCATCTGCTCTCTATGATAATATTGCCCTGAGTATCAAACTACATTATTTTTTTCACTTTGGAATGTTCTAGGGAGTCTCTTTTTGCCACAGAAGAATTTCAGTATAGCACTGATGTTTATGGATGTGATGTGTAGGAACGAAACCACTGTGAACACAAATAACGAGAGCTTCTGAAACCCTTCTCTGCAAGAATGATAATTTCTGTCGTGACACTGAGTTTGCTAAAGCTCGATGCATTTAATGAACAATCATTTTCCGAGCAGCTCTCAACTTCATCGTGTCAGCTCCCGAAAGACGTGAGACAACCTCAAGTGACTGTAAACAGACATCATATGCTTTGAGATGCTGAAATGGCACGAGAGACTAAATAAGAATGCTCTTTCTACGCCAATTGTTGATCAATCTTTTGAGAGCCCTGGAGGACTGGTACACACAGTGGCACTGTCTAGATGGAAATTTCCCTTCATGTTAAAGAACAAGTCTACAGCCAAGGACTCCTCCAAGGAGTCGCACGACTTGTCTTGGGCTTTAAACTCCTGTCAGTGCACAGTTTTCTTGCAAACATGTTTTATCTTGAGAAGCAAATAAGGTTTAGAAGCTTCCTGTGGAAAAGGAGAAGATTCACAATAGTACTAAGCGTGGCAAAATTCACCAAAGCTAACTAAGCGGAGCAAGAGCAATTTCTAATCTACAAAACTGTATAATTTGATCTCCTGATGGATTTATAACTTCTTTGTCAAAAATGTGCCATTGGCGTAGGGACAGGCTGTCACTGGATGTTTTAAAACAATATTTTTCCTGAGATACAGCTCTAATAACCTACTAGGTAACACCTAGGCTATGAAGGACAGCTTCCTTTTCCTTCTTTTCACAGGGTTTAATATTGGGTTTAGTATCCACCCAAACTTCAGGAAAATTCAGTAATTCAGCATCTGAATTGGGAAGTTTGACCATATGTGCCTTCATCTTGGTACTTTTTTTGTTTTCCCTTGTTACTTATTCAATCTATTCTGATTTTAACTCATCAGTTATTCTTAACAGCAGGAAAGGCATCATATAGGGCTGGTTGGTAATCTCCTTGAGGAAAAAGGTCTCCAGGAGACTCCCTATGCTACTTGCTCAAATCAGCAAGAGGACACTGCTGACCTCTTCCCAGGCTACTGCCAGAACTCACGGCAAAAGTCCTGGGTCATGGTTCCTGTGGTTCCTGTGTTCCTAAGTCCTTGATGGCAGACCTTTAGTGAACATCTTTCACCCAAGTCCCACCCATTCTCCTGTTGCCTCTTAGGGGCCCCTTCTAGAGGCTCCCGTGAATCCCAGAACTCCAGGGTGCATGCTTGAATCCCATGTTCCTAGTTCAAGAATTTCAGTCAGCTGTGTCATCGCTGGATTCAGATAAAGTAAATACATTTGTCCAGGCTGATGCAAGATCCTGGGAAAGGGAAACCTGGCGAGACCGTGGTCTGATAGAGGTGAAGCTTTCCAGGAGCCTAAAGCGGAGTTTCTGAGGCTACTCCTTGTGCAGAGCTTAGTGGTGGAGGCACCACTGATTCTCTCTTTCTAAGTCTCTCCTGACTGGGAGCAGCTAGTTGAAAGACACCCCATCTGACCTAGGAACACCAAGTCCCCAGTTGCTGGAGGCCGGGAGACCAGCTGGGGAAGGGTTTTGCGTCTTCTGCTCTTTGCATCTGTATCCGATGGTCAGAAACAGGCTCCTGGCTTTCGATGTTCCACTGCAGGAGACTCCAAAGTGGGGTGCATGGACCTCTGTGCGTGCACAGGACAATGCACTGAGTTATGGATATTTTAAATTCTCTCATAATAAATTACCAATTTACAGCTCTAGCTCAGACGTCTTGCACAAACACTGAAAACCAGCTTTATAAACTCTGGGAACAGAAGAGAGGAAGGATTCCTTTCTATTTCTCAGCTCTGGAGTATTTTTAATTTAGAGTGGCAAATGCAATTTTAAGGCCTTGTGGAAACAAACTTATCATGGCCTTCAATGTTCAACAGATTAATGAGCTGGCTCTTGACTGGTCACAGCTGTGCAATTTCCAGGCGGTAGCAGAAGACCACAGAGATCTCTAGTGGTCATTGCCATCTTGAAGTTCAGCAGTCACAGTTCTCCGTTCCAGCTCTGAGGTACGATTTTCTCCTGTGCAGTACTTCTTTTGGCAGCTTGCAGTGGCACTGCACAAAAAAGCAGCTGTTCTAAGAAGTTTCTCGTGAAACAGCTACCCTCCTCCTTGTTGCACTCCCTGTCCTCATATTTATTCTCCTTCTTTTCCTGCTGTAGAGGGTGGCAGGGGAGCTGAAGCAAAGAAATCAAAGTTAAAGCTACTTGGTTTAGATGCTGGGCAGTGACATCTCAGGCACATCTGTGTAAACAGCTGTGTACCCATAATGAGTAGCAGTTTGTCAGTAATAGCCTACCTGCAGGCTACTCAGAAGATAAGATGATGGAAGGAGAGGATGTGTAAAGTCACATGTCTATGCAGATAATGATGTGATGCCGTGTGATGTCATCATCCTGCAACTACTAGGAGGGTTTTGCAGAATCATAGAATCACAGGACGGTTGAGGTTGGAAGGAGCCTCTGAAGGTCATCTTGTCCAAATCCCCTGCTCAAGCAGGGCCACCTAGAGCCAGTGGCCCACGACTGTGTCTAGACAGCTTTTGAATATCTCTAAGCATGGAGACTTCACGACCTCCCTAGGCAACCTATTCCAGTGCTCAGTGATCCTCATAGTACAAAAGTGTTTCCTTGTGTTCAGAGGGACCTCCTGCATTTCAGTTTGTGCACGTCATAGTACAAAAGTGTTTCCTTGTGTTCAGAAGGGACCTCCTGCATTTCAGTTTGTGCATGTTTCCTCCGGTCCTGTCACTGGGCACCACTGAAAAGAGCCTGTCTCCATCCTCTTTGCACCTTCCTTCAGGTACTTACATGCTTTAATCAGATCCCTCCTGAGACTCACTCTCCCTCGACCTGCTGGCGATACTTTGAATGATTTCATCCACCTTCTTTGCAGCAACGGCACATGGCTGGAGCCCCAGGTCCTTTTCTGCCAACCTGCTTTCCAGTTGAGTTGCCCCCAGCATATATTGATTCATGGGATTATTCCTCCCCAGATGTGGACTTTTGCACTCCCCCTTGTTGAACTTCATGAGGTTATTGTTGGCCCATTTCTCCAGCTTGTCAAGGTCCCTCTAGGTGGCAGCATGACCCTGTGGTGTGTCAGCCACTCCCTCCCAGTTGAGTGCTGTCTGCAAAGCTGCTGAGGTTATACTCTCTGCACCATCATCCAGATCGCTGACGAAGATGTCAAACAGAAGATATTTCCCACCTCAGCTGCCGTTTCTCAAGGCTCCCTGTAAGACAAGAACAGACTCAGAACAGAAATAACAGGACAGATAACCTTGTGTTCATCACCCAATACAGGTACTGGGTTGGGAACAGAAGACGAACATTTGGGAAACAATATTGTTCTTTAGTGGAACAACTTGGTTGCAAATCAATGGCCTCTAACAAGAAGATTGAGTAGACACAGGCTGGAAGAGAAGGGAAACAAAGGGGAGGAAATAAAAGCAATATACTTATCTAGGATGGTATAGCATCACTACCTGCATAGGGATGTGTATCGGGTCTGACTGGGATGGAGTTAACTTTCCCCGTGGCACCCATCATAACACTTGTGCTTTGTATTTATAGCCAGAAAGGTGTTGATAACACACTGGTATTTTGGCTACTGGTGGCTACTGCTGAGCAGTGCTCGCACAGCATCAAGGCTGGCTCTACAATCCTGCCCACTCTCCCCACTATCCTCGCTCCAAAGGCCAGGGGTGGGCAAGAGTTTGGGAGGGGACACAGCCAAAACAGCCTCCCCAATCTGACCAGAGGGATATTCCATACCATATGATGTCGTACTCAGCAATGAGAAGCTAACCAAAAGAAGGAGGAGAAGGGGTATTTGTTTTTAAGACATTTGTCTACTGGAGCAACTGCCATATGTACTGAGGCACTACCTCCCAGGAAGTGGCTGGACATCACCTGCTGATGGGAAGTAGAGAATAAATCTTTTTGGTTTCCTTTGTTTCTGCATGTGGGCTTTGCTTTTTCTTCATTAAACTGCCTTTATCTCAACCCATGAATTCTTTTTCATCTTACTTTCTCACCTCCCTGTCCTGCTGGGGAGGGGGAGTGATAGAGGGGCTCGATTAACACCTGGCAGCTAGCCAAGGTCAACCCACCATAGGATGTGAATTTACGTATCCTCTCCTTCCATCACTTTATCTTTTCAGTACACAGATATGCCCTGAAAGGGGGCTGTTGCTTAATTTTAGGGTTTTTTGGTTAAAAGTATGGAATGATTATGAAAATAACTTCCTGGTGTCCCTAGAACAAATCTGTAAAGCTCAGAGTGTCCCTGTATTTCTGCCTGCTTCTTTGTAGCTGCTTCTTCTGCAAACTCTAAAGAAGAATCCAGGACTGATGTAAGTGATATGATCACTAATTTCCAGTGAAATTCTCCCACCAAAATGATACTATAGTTAGAAAATATGCCCCTAAATACCTCTTGCTTGCATATTCTCACCTTTCATTTTTGTCTGAAGCTTTACACAGCTTGGCCCATGAAATCTCCTACGAGAGGCACGGAAATAAAAATCAAGGAATTATCCTTCCTCTCTTCTCTCCCCTCCCTCTCACTCACATGAATTCATGGCCCCCAAGGCCTTTCCTTTTGACAGGTTACAGATGAACATGAAAGTGGGACGAGACTGGTCTCTGCTGGCATATCTTGGAAATTGCCTTAACATGTCCTGAGGAGATGTTAGCACCACATAGAAACAATTCTTCAAAATTAATACAGAGATGATTTACTTA